TAATCAAAGTAAGGCTGTGCTAAAGAGTTATAGATCATGACAAGAGTTGACTGTGGGAGCAATGGTTTTAGTCTTCGTAGAACTCCAATCACCTTGGAGACTTTGGAGATTATAGTAGAAACATGATGCTCCCATGTCAAACTCTCGTCCAGTTTTAAACCTAAACACTTATAAGATCTAACTCTTTCAATTTTGTTTTCGGCGATAGCAATATTAGGTTCTTCAGGAATAGTACTTAATTTTTGCCTGGATGCCATAAACATACATTTAGTTTTAACCGCATTCAGGCTTAGTTTATTCTGGTTAAGCCAGTTTTGGAGAGTTTTAAGGTCGTCATTTAGAACAGAAATCAACTGGTTGCTGTCCGCAAAAGTCAAGTTGGTATCATCAGCGAATAAACGCCCATCTGATACCAATTCACTATTAGGTAGGTCGTTTATATATATTAAAAACAGTAGTGGACCTAAGATAGATCCCTGAGGAACTCCACAGGTTACTTTACGAGTATCAAATCGTATGTTGTTAATAACTGTTATTTGAGTACGATCAGAAAGATAGTTTCTAAAAAGATCAATCGCTTTTTTGTTGAAACCGTAACAAGCTAACTTCGGTAGTAAAATGTTATGATCAATGGTATCAAAAGCCTTTTTTAAATCAATAAATAAGACAGCATTTATTAACCCACTGTCCATGTTAGTGTACCATTTATCAGTGACATCAAGCATAGCTGTTAACGTTGAGTGAAGAGGTCTAAATCCTGACTGTATGTCAGATAAAAGGTTGTTTTTGTTTAAAAAGGTATATGCTTGGTCAAAGACAACTTTTTCGAAAATTTTTGAAACTACTGGAAGGACTGAAATGATTTAGATTGATTTATTAACTTCAGCCGTCAACAGAAATATACATATGCAAACAGGAAGACGGTTCAGGAACACTAACACAGCGTGAGCCAATTACGTTAGTGACCTGTTACAAAACATCATTATACAAAACTTCACAACTTATAATTTAAATATCAAACAAGAATATAGTATAATCCTTTTTATCCGAAGTAGAGAGACAGCGTAAAAAATTTCGAAATTTGGTAAAACAAAATGACAAAATTGTCAAACAGAATAAATGCGAGAATATATATAGGTTCTGTACCCGTCGATAAGATAAAACGAAAATGGCGAAAAACCCAACTCTACATCGGATAAAATGAGGTATACTACATTGAATAATTGCCAAAATAACTAGTTCAATTAAGAACAACATTTCATTGTTGCAGTAAGCTGCCTGGCTTTATGGCATTTCAGACAAACTGATTTCCACGTCTGCGGATTTTCCTGGTCAAACACGGTTAATGTTGCGGAGTGGTAATAGTTTATAACACGTGATTTAAAGCTCTGCAATGATAGTTCTGGTTTCCGTAGCTCATCTGGTAGGCAGTTCCACACACGCGATACTCGTACAAGATAACTGTTCTGGTGACATAGCGTTCTTACTTTAGGAATGTTATATTTTACAAGAGAGTTATTAGAAGAGCGTAGATTTATGGTTGAAGTCAGAGTGTCAACTTCTTCGGGTAGGATATCAGTTTTAACCAAGCCATATTTGCATTTGAAGAGGAACAGGATATCAAGATATTCGTGCCAGTAACAGAGAGGTAGCATATTCAACGCAGCGAGTCTCGTTTTATATGGCATGTCCGTTTGGAATGGTAAAGACAGTACGAATTTGGTCGCTCTACGTTGTATGCGTTCGAGCTCCATACACATGGTGATAGTCTGTGGACACCACACTTGTGAGGCATAAGCAAGATGGGATCTCACAAGTGTAAGGTAGAGACAGCGTCGGGTATTTACGTTTTTAACTTTGATAGTCGAACGTTTGAGCATACCAAGTAGGCGGTTGGCTTTCGTAACTTGCTCGTAAATATGAGTGTTCCATCTGAGATCTGAACAAACCGTCACTCCGAGGTCTTTCTGGGAGAAAACATGCTGCAAAGTTTTACCGTTGACAATGTATTCAGCAACAAGAGGATGACGTTTTCTCGTAACGCTCAGAACTTTGCATTTTTCGGCGTTGAATTTGAGCCTCCAAAACTCAGCCCATTTCTCCACGTTTCTCGCTTCAGCTTGAAGGACACAGGCGTCAACCGGCGATTCAATAACTGAGATGCATTTTGTGTCGTCGGCAAACAAGGAAACGTCAACAGCGGATGAGGTTATTGATTCGGGAAGGTCGTTTATGTAGATGAGAAACAGGAGTGGTCCGAGTATTGATCCTTGCGGAACGCCGGAGGAAACTGGACGTGTCTCTGAAATCTCACCATTGACTAGTACACGCTGTTGTCGTCCGGATAAATAACTTTTAAACCACGTTAAAATATTGTCCCTAAGTCCAAATCGTTGGAGTTTCTTTAAAAGAAGGCTATGATTCACCGTGTCAAACGCTTTAGCAACATCGAAATACAAGATATCTGTTTGTTTCCCTGAATCCAGGTTTTGGCTGATGCGGTGAAGAACGGAAATGAGCTGACCTGTGCAAGACTTTCCTCTCAGAAAACCATGCTGTGCGACGGATATCATGTTCTCTATATGACCAATCAGACGGTTGTAAACACAACGTTCTAAAACTTTCGCAACAACGCACATGAGGGAAATTGGTCTGTAATTCTCAACAAAACTCTTGATTCCTTTTTTATGAAGCGGGATGATGTTGGACAGTTTCCATTCTGATGGTAGGGAGGCATGCTTTAAGGATTTGTTGAAGAGACATGTTAATGATGGTGTGATGGAGTGCGCACATTCTTTTAGTAAGCGGATTGGTATATTATCTGGACCAGATGCTTTACTAGGATCGAGGCAATGAAGAACGTCATATACTTCACTTGGGTCTAAAATAATGTCAGAAATGGTCTCTTCACATACAGGTGTAGTGGGGATTGAAATATCATCACCTTCTGTTAGAAATACTGAGTGGAAGTAGTCATTGAACATTTCTGCAGCTTGTTTTTGACTAGTGGAATCTAAGCGTGGGGAGTCTTCGTTGCCTGTCGCGAAATAGGCCTATAATTATTCAAATCTAGTTTTGAATCATGTTTATAAATTGCTGATACCCTGGCACACTTCCAGTCAGCGGGAATAATTCCCTTGCGAATTACTAGATTAATAATGTGAGTAAGTGAAACCACAGTAGTGAAATTAATTAGTTTTAATAAACGAACAGGAATGTTATCAAGACCGCTAGCCTTAGAAGTCGATAATTTATAAATTAGTCCATCTATTTGAGATGGAGTAACTTCATGTAATTCAAAAACTTCATTACATTGCGGAATGTTAGAAGAGGCCGCACCAGTTGTTGGAATTTGTGCTGCTAATTTAGGTCCGATTTCAGTGAAGTGCTTATTAAAAACATTGCTAATAGTTACTGGGTCAGTAATTTCGATTTCATCTTGCAAGATTTTTGGTATAGTAGTTGAATTTTTAGATTTAGAAAGAAGACTGTTGATACCATTCCAAGTTTTTTTAGTTCGACCTACGTTGAGTTGAAACAGAGAATTATAATATTGCTTTTTACTATCTCTAATTTTATAGTTAACTAGATTTTTAGCTGTTTTGAAATTGACCCAATCATTTTCATCATTAGTATAAACTGCTTTACGCTTCAATCGATCTCGTTCCCATATTAATTTCTTGATATCTACAGAGAGCCATGGGGCACAATTTTTCCTTATTCTTCTTTGTTTGACTGGAGCATGCTTATCAGCAACATCAAGAAATAGTTTTTTCCAAATTTGCCAAGCATTTATAGGATCATCTAAGGAAACTATGTACTGCCAAGGAATAGCATCAATGTCATGCTTGAATGAAGTTTCATCAAAATTTTTATAACTGCGGGATTTGATAGTTATAGGCTTAGATTTAACACTAGAGTGTTTTCTGATAGCATAAATTAAATTATGGTCGCTGATACCTAGAACTATAACGCCCGCAGAAGTAAAGTTGTTCGGTTCATTAGTAAGAAAGAGATCGATTAACGTGGATGAGCTATTTGTAACTCTAGTTGGCTCCTTAATAAGTTGAGTATATTGATATGACTCACTTAGTTCAAGTAAATGTTTAGTATTATTATCTGCAATAGATGCACTCATGTTACAATTTAAATCACCAATGATATTATTTTCAATACCAAGGAACTCGATTTTATCTAAAATTACCTGAAGTTTGTCAAAGAGATCCTTGCAAGAATTAGGAGGTCTGTACCACGTTGATATTAGAAATGGTTTAACTTTAGGTTTACTGATCTCAACGCACAGAAACTCAAGGGCTTCATCATGAAGATCATTTCTGAGATTAAAATTAATTGAATTTCGGATATACATAGCTACACCGCCTCCGTGTCGTGTTCGATCGTTCCTAACTAAAGTATATTTATCAATTGATATTTCAGAATTACTAATAGTTTCATCAAGACGAGTTTCGTTTAAGACCAGTATATCTAAATATTGATGTTGCATGTTTAATCTTAATTCATCGATATGCTTGGGTAAACTTGCAATGTTTAGAAAAGCAATTTTGAAGCCTCTGTGTTTAGGTAAGTTGAAATCAGTTTGTTTGTGCGTATTAGAATCGCTTTTATCAACATTAGAAAAGGTTTGGTTAGACATACCCGTCGCTACTAATCAATGATTAATAATATAAGAAGAGATTGATTTAGCAATAATGGCAGTACCTTTCTTGTTCAAGTGGAGTCCTTTTGAATTCAGACAGGTTGCATTAATGGCTTTATGGTTAATATAGCCCCATTTATTTTGGTCGCAATACTTTTTCACGATGTCATTGACTTGACTAGCTTTGATTAGTAGATTTGACTTGTCCGTTCGAGGTAAAATTTCTGACAGCGACGAGAAGGGGTATCTTGTCGATTGTCAGTTCTGTATACGATCCGCTGGGGTTTGCTGCTCCATTCATTCTTCAAGCCAAACTCATTCTCCAAGATCTATGTCGGAAGAAGTTGGGGTGGGATGAAAAAATTCCCGAGGAATACCGCAATCGCTGGCGAGCTTGGCTACAAGAGCTACCGAATCTGGAACAACTAGCTGTTGATCGATGTTTTAAACCCACTGATCTAGGAGAAGTCAACGACACTCAACTACACCACTTTGCAGACGCATCACAACACGGGTACGGAGCTGTAACGTATCTTAGAGTTAAAGATAAAGATGGAAATGTAAAGTGCTCGTTCGTGATGGGCAAATCAAGGCTTGCACCTATCAAACCGGTCACAATCCCTCGTATGGAATTGTCAGCGGCGGTCGTAGCAACGAAGCTAGACAAAATATCACGTCGAGAACTAAGTTTTCCAATCGATCAATCCTTCTTTTGGACCGACAGTACGTGTGTGTTACGTTACATCGAGAACCAAGACAAGAGATTTCAAACGTTCGTGGCGAATCGAGTCGCTGCCATCCACAACTCATCTTCCCCATCCCAATGGAATTATGTCAATACCGAGCTAAACACAGCCGACGATGCTTCAAGGGGCGTGTCAGCAAATTCTCTCGAGCGTTGGATTCAAGGACCAGAGTTCCTATGTCAATCGAACGAAGACTGGCCAAAACGACCAGCCGAAATGAACGTGAATGTTGATGAAGCCGATCCTGAAGTCAAATCACCCATTGTATGTGCAAGTCATGGTTCTGATCCAAATCCAGTAGTAAGAATGATCGAACGTTATTCGTCTTGGAATCGTCTGAAAAGAATTACGGCGTGGGTGCTTCGGTACAAGGCGAATCTACTACGTGAAAGCAAGAAACGAAAGGCGGGGGAATTGGTCGCAATTAAGTCATCTGATCCGATTGCTCCTGTCGACGTAGTCGAGATTCAAAATGCGGAAACTGAAATCCTGAAGTACATACAAGGGCAATCGTTCAGGGAGGAACGCGAGTTTCTTAATAAAATCAACCAGCAAACAATGTGCTCGAGAGGCGCAAAGCTACTTAAGAAGTCAAGCAAAATTTTCAACCTCGACCCAGTGGTAAACGAAGGGCTTTTACGCGTTGGAGGCCGCCTGGGGCGAGCACCAATTCACCAAAATGCAAAACATCCCGTTATCCTACCCAAAAACCACCACGTAGTCACCCTCATCGTGAACCACTACCACCACCTTTCTGGGCACTCAGGCCTAGAATATACTTTGTCTCCGATACGACAACGATACTGGATCATCAACGGAAGGAGGACCGTACGGAAAATCCTTAACCAGTGTATCAGTTGCAAGAAACGACAAGCACCTATGGCTCAACAGAAAATGGCTAATCTTCCAGAAGATCGAACGACGCCTTCGAAGCCACCTTTCACATACACAGGAGTCGACTGTTTTGGGCCGTTTGAAGTGCGACGTGGCCGTACCACAGTAAAACGTTATGGTGTTTTATTTACCTGTTTAACCATACGTGCTATTCACCTCGAAGTCGCAAGTTCATTGGACACAGGCTCATTCGTTAATGCCCTACGTAGATTTATCGCGAGACGAGGACAACCCGAGCTAATTCGGTCGGATAACGGCTGCAACTTTGTGAAAGGAGAAAAAGAGCTACGCGAGGCTGTTAAGGAATGGAACCAATCGCAGATTCATGACTTCCTACTGCAGAATAATATTAAGTGGATGTTTAATCCTCCAACCGGTTCACATCACGGCGGTGTTTGGGAGAGATGCATCAGGACGACGCGAAAGGTGATCAAGGCGGTGATCAAAGAACAAGTATTGGACGACGAAGGAATCAACACTTTAATGTGCGAAGTCGAAGCGATCGTGAATGGGCGACCTATTACTAAGCTTTCTGACGACCCACGAGATATGGAACCTCTAACCCCTAACCACCTATTGATGCTCAGAGCCGGACCCTCAGTTCCACCCGCTTCCCTCTCCAAACAAGACGTTTACGGTCGGCGATGGCGTCAAGTACAGTACTTGGCAGATGTATTCTGGCGACGTTGGGTTAAGGAGTATCTCCCATCCTTGCAGTTACGGCAGAAATGGAACAAGCAGCAGAGAAATTTCGCAGTGGATGACATCGTGTTGGTCCTTGATGATAAAACTCCGCGACATTTCTGGCCACTCGGACGAGTTTTGGAGGTGTATACTAACCGCAATGATGGGCTCGTACGTTCAGTGGAGTTGAAGACCAGGACGTCCGAACTTACAAGACCAGTTAACAAGATTGTCCTGTTGGAGGGAGCTGATGTCACCCAAAACGATAAGTAGACATTTGTGCATGAACATTATTAGTATAATTAACGATAGAACGTTTAGTTATTTCTTGTTTGTTATTTCTATTGACTTTAGTTTCGTTTCAAAACTTTATATTATTATAAGGTAAAGGCTACTCATGGTTCCGCCTTTAAGGGGCCGGAATGTTAGTTTTAAAACGCGAATATATTGTAAACGTCATCACCTTAATTAACGCGACGCAAATTATGCAGCTTTATTTGACATTATGTCAATCTAGTTGCGCCTCCGGGATCGAATTTTAGATATAGTTGCGTGACTCAAGGAAGGTCAAGGCTCTAGTACGTTCTGTTGTGTAAGGACAAAGTTTTGTATCTGCATGTGGACGCTATCGTGATAGCTGTTGGTAAACTATTTCTATCCACATTGTATTCTACGTACTCGCTGTGGTTTTCAAGCCAAAGTTAAAGGTCATTGGTGCGTGTGTAAACCAACGTGAGTACACATTTGACCTTTCTTTTGTACAGTTGCAATCGTAGGTTCTATATGTTGTTAAATGATTTAGTTATTGTATATTCAGTTGAAATATTCACTTATGTTTAGTTAATGCATGTTAGGGTATGATATAGTTCATTTATTGATAGTTATTGTGTATTCGTGCGATCGCGTGATTCATGCTATAGTCACGCAAACAGTATTTTCATAGTTTAAGTAGATATTTTTCATTGTCATGTTATTTAGTTCGAACCGAAAAACGATACGATAATCGATAACCGATTGTATACGACTATATCGATCTTCTATTCTCGTGAACATTTTGGATCCGTATTATAAA